TACATTTCTTACCAAGCATTGCAGCCTCCTCCTTTGTTTCCCCTTCCCATCCCTTCCCATCCTCCCCCCGCCCCCCACCCGATCCTCCCCACGGCGCCCCCCCCAAAGTTGTAAAGTTCATTTTCGACATAACGACTTATACATCTCATTGTTGCAATGGGTCCACCTTACACTAACTTTTCTTTCCTAGTTAGTGATAAGTTTAACTTAAAGATACTTTGATTAGTTGTCTGATTCAGTGTCTGTTGAGTTCATTAAGAAAATATCTGAGTGTGAGATAGATGTTAGTCAGTGTACTGAGGAATTAGGAGCTTTAAAGCGAACAGAAAGTCCAGATAATTGTGATACAACTGCTCCATGTGAGCCTTTATGCACAAAGTGCACTGGGAAGCAGGAGGAAATGATTCACTTTACCTGAAAGATATTCATCCACTCAGGGCTGCTGGTTGTCAGTTTGGAACTGGAAGGATGTGCAATAAGTTTGATAAGAGCAGGAAGAGCAGGTTCTCACTTTGCCAAGGCCCTGAAGCCTGTGTAGAAAAGTGTTTTATGGCTAAGTGTTGCATTGCAGCACAGAGCATGTTGGAGTTAGGGGCAGGAAGTAAAGCTGGAGGTTGGCCCCTTCAGAGACTCTTGAAAGAGGAAGAATGAAGAGAATCCTTTTTTTTTCAAGATTTTATTATAAAGGTGATTTATAGAGGGGTTTCAGTTGTAAAGAGAATATTTCTTTTTGGACTGTGTTAATTCCCTTTTCCTCACTCATTCCCAGTTTTTCCCTTCTGTCCCACCTACAAGAATCCCTTTTAATCTGACTTATTTTTGACAGAAGAACCAAATGATATTTCTTTGAAATCAGAGTAACTTTTCAAGGAATTGGTTGTTATTCCATTTTACAATTCTAGACCTAGAACCTCAGAATTTGACTTCACTATGATATCCCAGCTAGGAAGGAAGAGAGAATGCTCTCCCAAACCCGAGCTTCAGGCTTGCTAACACACATTGATAGTGCTGGTGTCTTATCAAAGAGACAGCCTTGGCCTGCAAGCACAAGCAATTTGTGATCTGATATTTACCTGAGCAAGTTGTAGCTAAAATACTACTAGACTGCCAGCCTACTACATAGTGGCTGCCTGAAAGGAGAGACAGTAGACGTGGAGGAAGATCCCAGAAGAATAAGAAACTATAGAAC